TGTTTGGTGGATTTTTGTTTTAATTTGCTAAATGGCCAACACAGCTACTACCCCTGCATGCACTATAGAAGGATTCATTTTTGCAGGAGAAGAATATAGGTAATGTGTGTGTGTGTGTGTGTGTGTGTGCAAAATGAGGACATTGACATTTTCCCTCAGTTCCCTAAATTTCTAGGATTGCAGTAACTTAAAATGTCACTTGAGCATTTATTATTATTATTATTATTATTATTATTATTATTATTATTATTATTATTATTATTATTATTATTATTATTATTATTATTATTACTGTTGTTGTTGTTGTTGTGAAGTATTTATACCCCACTCTTCAGCCTAAATGCTGTCAGAGCAGCTTCCAAATGGTTAATTAGAAAGACAATGTAGGCATCTAAAGAAAGGGGAAAAGCAAAGACACCAAAGGAATGTGGAAATAGAGCAAATAGAAGAATTCTAGGTATGAACAGTTTTCAATATCTCTGGAATGCCCACATCTCCATACAGACACCCCATAAGTACATGCATCCCTTGGTTTTGTAGCTACATCTCTGGATCTGAAGAAATACCTCAAATGACTACTGAAACTGGTGGGAAGGGAGGTTTGCCACCTCTGAGGCTGAGAGAGTGTGACTTTCCAAGGCCACCCAGTGGGCTTCCATGGCCAAGCGGGGATTCGGACCCCGGTTTCTCCTTTCCCCACTTTCCAAATGCATCTAAGGAAGGAGGCTCCAGTCTACAAAAGTGTGTGTGTGTTGCGTGCCTTCAACTTGTTTATTGGGTTTTCTTGGCAAGGTTTCTTCAGAGGGGGTTTGCCATGGCCTTTCTCTGAGGCTGAGAGAGTGTAACTTCCCCAAGGTCAACTGATGGGCTTAATGTCTGAACTGGGTCTCGAACCCTGGTCTCCAGAGTCTAGTCCAACGCTCTAACCGCTAGGCCAGGCTGCCTCTCCCATGCCACCAACTTTATTCTTTCACTTAAGAGTCTGAACAGACTGTCAGAAATAATGCAGCTTGAGATCACTTTAACTGTCGTGGCTCAGTGCTAGGGAATCATGGGAAATGCAGTTTTTTTCTGAGACATTGAGCCACAATGAACTGCAGTTCCCATGATTCCCTAGCACTGAGCCAGGGCAGTTAAAGT